GATCGTTGGAATGCGACCAAAAGAAAGTGAAGTAATGATATGATTTTTAGATCAATATGTAAGTGGAAGTAAATGACTTATGATGGTCTCAAATGGCCACGCGTATACAACCACTGACAGAAAAGTCCTACTCACTGTCTTCTCGCACCACAGGTGTTTTTACGAAATGAAGAGGACAAAAAGCGAATGTCCAACATTCTAACCGGGTTGGTGGACACGGAGGGTCCAAATAGAGGAGTTGGAAAACCCTTATTCCAAACCAATCGTGTACATGTGGTCCAGGATCCTGGAGGAACAAATGGCATATAAACCTATTGTTGGTCATCGGCTACCATGTTACTGCATCTCCTAACGTTTCTCCACTGCCTTATGGATCAGACCTATAGTTCGAAGGCTCCGGATGTGGCTCCCTAAGGAAACCACCTGCTTTGGTTTGAGCACCTGGGGAGTACCCTATCCCTCACACCAATCAAGTGACTTGTGTGACGTATATGTAGTCAATGCCCCTTTGTAACAATATTTATATGTTCAAATAAAGAAAAGAATAGTCATTTCGAATGAAAACTATTGTGAAAATTCACGGCACGAAAAATTCTAATCCACAGTACGAATTCAAGAACCATTCGATGGATTTTGAAGATTTTGAAAAAGATCATAATAATGATAGGACGACTGAGAGTAATAATAGTTGATTCGCTACTTGAAAGTCAATATTTAATGAGAATTCAGTGATAATTCATAATCAAATGGCATTAATAATGGTTCCCAAATAGCATCAAAATATTTGTCACTAAAATTAAAAGGAATATTGGGAACGGAAATATTCATCCTTTTTTATCTAAACTCTAATCTGATTGTTAAACTGAAATAACATTATTTCCATTTTAAAGCAAACATATCAGTTAGAATGATTATGATAATTAAAGTGAAATTTCATCATCTGAATTAAGTAGACTTAAATAATGGTGATAGGAAAATTCAAAGCCAAAACTACTTTCAACCTTCTGTATCGGTTAGATCAAATATGTGCGGTCCCTTGTATTTTGGAATCCGTGAGTGACCTTCCCGGTAACTGCCGACGAATTAAATTTGGTCAAATCGTTTCTTGACATGATTCTAGCAAGATGTGAAACGATGAGACATTTGAAAAACCTGATACATGAAGATGTTTGAAATAGAAAAAGACATAGGACAAGTGTGTCGAGAAAGTATTTTAAAAGGGTGTACGGTTTATTTACCCTGAAACTTCCATGACCTCACTTCAGTTGTTTTGGGAATCACAGTTAAGAAGCAAGCCATTAAACTGAAAGAACAATACAATTTCTAGATGAACCAGTTAAGAGGCAATCTTTAGAAACTGGATGGAATTATTAAATACCAAATAACTCAGTAGATTATAATTTTCTGAACATAAACGATTGCACAAATTAAAATATTGATCTAAGGTTAATAAATTTTAGGATCTGACACCTCTCCCTTCATCTTGTTTGTTGAAAATTAGAACGATGTTGGTATGCAATAGAGAATAATCCCGAATGTATTTAGTCGAAATCCGTTGTCTCAACTGTTGCTAAAGTAGTTATATGCGAAATCGTTCCCAGTAGTATATTCCTTGCTAGATTAATTTAAAGTCGATTTAGTTTAGAGTCAAGGTGTCAGCACAATTGTTTAACAACGTAAACGACAAAGACTTTTATCAATCGATCAAAACATTTATGAAGAAACATAATACCAATTTGCTATTTTCACAATGGCAAGAAATAATAGTAGTCGCAAAGTATCATGACATTTTGGATACTTTAACAGAACCTGTCACCAGTTATATAATTTCACCCTGCAGGTTTTCTGCAAACGAGTACAATATCGGAAAAACGGTATCTTCATGAATAGTGATTACGTTCCGTTTTAAAAGAGACGGGTTTCTTTTGTCTTTTATAGGATTTAACTTAGTACCAATACCTTACCCATATCAAAACTCGAGAGAAGTGATACTGTATTCTGGTCATGAAGAATAAAATGTCTCGCACACACAAGGAGTTGCACTGATGCTATTTAAAGATGTGCAGAAAGCATTTATAAGGTGGGAATCTCATAAATCCAGGATTATCAAAGCACCCTTGTAAGCAAAGAAAACATGGATAGCAATGTCATCCACAACCATGCGCTCACCATTGATATCAGGGGGAGTGGTGAATATTTGTTTTGTAAGAAGTTGTAGTCCATTGTAGAGAAATACCCAGAAAAGGACCGAACCGTCCTGATGAAAGACCTAAACGCCAAGGTCAAAATGGACAATACAGAGTATGACGATATCGAGGGATAACAAGGACTGGGAGAAAGGGACGAAAACTGTGAGATTTACAAATTTGTGGGCTTTCGACAAAATAGTTATATGTGTTACCATTGTCGTAAGAAAAAAATAGAGGAGCTGATATGGCTTCAGATCACTACCTGATAGCTGCAAAGATGAAACTAAAGCTAAAGAAACACTGGATAAACAGTATCACAAAAGATTAATACAGCCTTCCTTTGAGATACTGACTTATGAAGTCAACATAAATCCTACCAATAAGTCCCACTAAAAGAGTAAACTACTATGGAAACAAATGGAAATGGATAATAAAAAGTAGTAACTTGAACATACCAGGAGGTGCTGCGTCGCAAGAAGCATCGTCATAAAGGGTGAATTTCTGTTGATATCCTACGCACGATTCAAGAAAGTAAGAACAGGAAGACACCAGTCGACAACAACCAAACAATAGTAGAGAAGGTCAAGACAGAAGCCAAATTCACAGGCAAACAAGCGAGTGAAGAGCAGCATCAGAACTGATGAACGGAAGTATGTGGAACATCTAGCGACGAGAGTGGAGAGAGTTGCAAGTGAAGGGAAACCTGAGAGCACTCTAAAGAACCCTTGGAAAGACCAGTCACGCTGAACCCACCAGACATCGAAGAAGCACACACGCACATTCCTATGGTTGCCACTCCATCAACAATAGAAAAAATCAGGATGGCAGACAGATCAACTGTGGGAAAGCAGTAGAACCTGACAACATATCGGCTGTAGCACTGAAGTCAGATATTGAAGTAACTGAAAACATGCTTCACATCATATTCTGAAAGATTTAGGAGCAACAAATGCCGACAGAATGGAAAGAAGAATACCTCATCAAGATACCAATGAAAAGAAAATGAAATCTCAGTATGTGTGAGAACCACAGAGGCATCCTACTACCATTCGTGTCAGCAAGCGGTTCCAACAGTGTTGCTGAACCAGATGAATGATTCAGTGGACACTTAGCTCCGAGATCAACAGGTCGGATTCCGTAAGGATCGGTCGTCCACGAACCAAATCGCAACACTACGGATCATCGTTCAACAATCCATTAAATGGAATTCGTCACTATACATCAAATTCATTGATTATGAGAAAGCGTTTGACGGTATGGATAGGAGAATATCTTCGACTTTATGGTGTAACTGGGAAAACCGTCAAAATCATCCGGAATTCATACGACGGACCACACTGCGAAGCCGCGCATGGAGGACAGTTGACAGATGCATTCCAAGTGACGACCGGAGTCAGACAAGGCTGATTAAGTAGAATTTTGTGAAACCACTAAAAAACCATCCTAACGACTATGTACCATGACGATAATTCCCCTTTAGTCGGGTCTATAATATACAGCTTCAAAGAGAAATTTAGAATTATGATATTAGGCTCATAGTAATCGCGTCGAATAATCACCTAACAGAGAAACGGTAGTACAATTGCAACGGTTGTCGCATAACTTAACATGTAAACTGGTACATAGTCACTAAGTTTTAATGTGGGATGATGGTTAAAGCATTTAACTGTCAACCAATTTATATATGATTGACCATTGCTTCGTATAAATTGCCCCTGGGAGGTGTGAAAAATTAGCTACACTACCTAATTGATGAAAATATTTCAATAAAATGCTCGTGGTGGTTAATGGTCTCACTTTTACTTATTCAACATTGCTAAACCATTACTTAGTATTAAGAGATAAGAAAATTAATTACTCGGGTTGATAAGTACGAGAATATACTAATTTAAAGGTAAGTGGAGTACGCTGAAATGGTCATGCTACTTAATGTTTCGGAAAATAAATTTCTATTACCCATTATCATATGAAAACCAACCACCTCAAATAGATATGCATTCCAGAATGTAATTGAATAGTTTTATAAACTCATGTTTTGACTTGTCTAAACAAAAAGCAGAGAATCCTTTTCTTTAGATCTATTTCAACAAACACGAAGTCCAGAGGGGTTTTGTGGATATTATAGTAATTTAATAGTTGAATTCATGAGTCAATTGAAGCTAGACCACCATGGAAAGGGGATCGTGGATGCGCACTGCCGATGAATCCCATACTAGGACGAAACGGCCGTTCAGTGCTCCCAGGTTTTCTATGGTGGTCTAGCTTCAATTGACTAATAAATTCAACTATTAAAACACGAAGTTGAAGAATTCTTGTGTTGAATAAATTCAAATGAGGAACATATATTGACCTGAGGAAAATTTGACGGAGGTAGACTGTTAAGATAAATATTGCTTACATTCAAATATAAAACATAAATCAATTTGTAATGTCGGCTCTCTGTCCAAATTACTTCATATAATTAGTAAGTCTTAAATTAATTCATTTGAGTGACGTCTACTACCACGAATTGAAGTTGATGAGTACCCGAGTCAACATAGCGCAAAATTGCAAGTAAAAGCTCTCACATGCTCAACAAATATTTTATTCTTAATCAGGAAAATAAACAACAGTAGTCAGATTATAATTTAATTAAGTGATAGGTCTATTCAATGTGAAGCGTTCAACTTTAAAATATCGAATCAATAACTAAAGCATTAACAACAGAATCAACAGGAAGTTCCTGTGGTCCGTCATTAACAATAGGAGGTAGTACCAGTAACAAATTAGAATTAAGACAACTAGCTAAGCAAGAACTCATTTGATTCTCCATCATATCACAAGATGCACAAGGTACGGAAGGTTGGTTATATTCTGAATTCTCTTTCCAAACTAATCTGGCACGTCTGTAATCTGGACGATCACTCAGTTTAACAGAATGTAACAACCGTACATGAATACTTGGAAAGCACCATTCTTCAAGAGGTCGTAAGTTCAACTTCCTTAATAAGGGCAAAACAAATAGATGCGCTGTTACATAACATGACACAGGATTACCTGGTAGGCAAAATGCTAACACAGGCTTTGGTTTAGTGGTAGTAGAAGCGGCGATGGCTGAATTATCATGATGAGGTATAGATAAGAATGTTGTTGGTTTCCCTGGTTTCATAAACACTCGAGCGAAGTGGAGAGTTGCATTAAAATCTTCGATTAGTATCTTACTAACCATATCACGTTCACCCATGCTTACGCCGCCTGTTGTGATAAGAATATCACACAAGGTTAAAGCCCTGGACAAGCCCATTCTTAAGGATTTTCGATCATCGGTTAAAATCCCACAATCTACAACATTAAAATAATTATGTTTGTGCAGTAGGTTGATTAAAACAGGGCGGTTACTGTCTCTCACAAAAGGCTTTGTTTCAGAAACAACACAATCTAAAACCTCATTTCCAGTCGATAAGACACCAATGCGACATTGCTCTAGACAGGGTAGGTATCCGCCTTGCAAAAGACGATCTAAAACCGCGTAAGGAATTGGACCTTCATTTGCCTTGACATAATCTGCATGATTAGATGGCCAAGGTGTTAGCAAACCTGCACCGGAAATCAACCCTAATTCTGTTGAACCAAGGCGTAGTCCTCGCCTAAAAACAAAGTTCTTGTCTAAATCGACACCAGCTGGACGAATGAACTGCCCAATACTTCCAGGTGGAATAGTCACTTCAATCGTGTCTTCCTCTTCTAAATAAAGATCTACAGGTTCACCTTTTCGTTTAGAGATAAGTTTGGTGTTCTCTATTGGAACAACGCAATCAGCTCCAGAGGGAATAGGGCTGCCAGTACTAACACGAACACATGTGCCTGGAGTAACAACTAACTCTCTACCTGCACACATATGATCCCCACCATACGACGCACCAACAACTTTTAGTTGACTAGCACCATCCATAAATCGAACAGCATATCCGTCCATCATGCTCGCATCAACAGGAGGAATGCACTGACGTGACTTTAAACTTCGACCAAGAACACGACCTAAAGCATTTTTATGAAACACTGCTTCAATCCCCATCTCAAAACTGCACACGGCGAATATCTTTTCAAGTGCTTCATCAACTGATATCATTGGATATTTAGAATGTCTACAACGACTAACGACAGGATATTCGCGTTCTAATATACTTTTATCCAGATTATACTGAATGGGATGTTCTAATTTTACAAGATGATCCCAACCTTTGATTTGCTGGATAGCATGTTTCATTACTGGAAGAATAACTGGGATACACTGAGAAACTGCGCGTGTACTACCTGGTAAGGTTATTAGTAGAGTTTCATTACATACTCCAGCTACAAATCGCGATAAAGCACCCATCGGGGTATTTTGAAGTGAAATAGAATAAAGAGAGTGCTCAATACCATGTAGACGTTGATTTTGGGAAACTAACTCAATAATTATATCCGAAGTAACATCTCTTCTAGACAGACCTGTACCCCCTAGCGTAAGTACGGCTTCTACTTGACGAGAAGCTACCCATTTCATAATTACGCGACGAATAATATGTGGGTCATCCGGGACACAATCTTTTAACGGGACGTTAAATCCTGCCTCCTGGAGTAAACTTTCAGCAACTGGGCCACTTTGATCGAGTAAAATATCCTTGGAGCATGTGTCGCTGACAGTGAGAACTGCCACAGACAAACGCAGACCTGAAAAAGACCGGGAATAATTCACTAAAAAAAGTCATCAAACGATTTAGCAACATAACAGTGCATATTTTCACTTGTAAGACTATAGGTATCGCAAAGTGATACTAAAGATGACTAAAGTAATGCAATACTTGTAAGAAACGGAAGTCAAATTCAAAAGAAACTCCGAAAAAAAGTATAACTAGACCGTTGGGTTCAGGAGTAGGAGGATATAGGAATTTATTTATTTAAGCACATAAACATTGGTACAAGGAGGCACCAAATAGATATGCGCCACATAAATCACTCGATTTGTGTGAGGGCTGGAATAATGCCCAGGTGCTCAAACCGAAGCAGGTGATTTTCTTAGGGAGACACATCTGGAGCCTTCTACCTCAAGGTCTGATCCACAAGGTAGTGGAGCAACGTTAGGAGATGCAGTACCATGGTAGCCGATGACCAACAATAGGTCTATATGTCATTTGTTCTTTCAGGATACTGGAACACATGTGCACGATTGGTCTGGAATAAGGTTATTCCACCCGACCGAAGCTGCTACCTTGACGCGGTGGTCGGGCTTGCTTATCGTGATGACCCAACCGAGCTATATTGGCTGGAACATATGTTCCTGCAGGTTCTACCATGCCAGGCAGGTCGATTGGTGAACGGTAAGACTAAAAGCAGCAACTCAAGGTCTGAGGGCAAAGTCGTACTGCTGACTGTAGAGAGGTGTGACAGCAGTAAGGTGTTTCCCTCGGACAACCAGCATGACAGCGATGCTGCCTTCCCACAAGGAGGGGTGGGGTTAGAAAAGGTCGACCCTAAAAATGTCACACCTCACCTTACCTCACGGATTTCCGTCTCCGGCGGTAAGGCCCTTTGAAGAACGGAGCTAACACGTCAAAAACTTTCCACAAAAAGGCCGTGTGCGACCGGCCTCAAGCATTTGTCCCTTGGGCTCTGCGGTCACGCTCCCAGGTCGTCAAGATCAACACTAATCTAATTTCCTTTTCAGGTTCCTCAAGAAATACCCTTCCACGGTGTGGGCAGCCGGGAAGTGATATCAGCACACATACCCGTAACAGCACACGAGACCAAGTTGGTCACATTCAAAGCCTTCCTACACCTCCTAATACCTCTCTTAACTCCATGACTAACCCTCCTCACGTCTCTTTATCACCTCGCACCGCTAGGGCAAACAATTCGAGTACGTGGAACTCTATTCCTGGTCTCCTGAAACCACGCTCTAAACTACACGTAGGAGCTTTTAACGTACGAACACTTTGCCAAATAGGACAGCAGGCTTCCTTAACTAGGAATTTAGAATCTCGCGCCATCGATGTGTGCTGCGTCTCCGAAACGCGCATACAGGATCCGAGTAGCGTCATTCATTTGACCTCACCATGCCAAAATAAAGAACCGACTCGATTTACGCTTCGTGTATCTGGAAGCCCTGATTCTGCTTCCCGTGGCCTCGCCGGCGTAGGTATAGCATTAAGTCCTAGGGCAGAACTAGCTCTCTTAAAGTGGATCCCAGTAGACAGCCGTTTGTGCGCTGTCCGACTGAACGGAACAGTAAGAATCCGGAAAGATAGGGACACTCGTCGTTGCCTCTTCGTCGACTCTGTCTATTCTCCCACTGACTGTAGCTCAGATGATGTCAAAGATGAGTTTTACAGAAACCTCTCCGACCTCCTCCTAAAAGCTAGGCGCTCTGATGTAGTAATAGTGGCCGGTGACTTTAATGCTCAAGTAGGTAAACTAAGCGATAGGGAAAGACACCTAGGTGGATCTTATGGTGTCATGGCTCAAAGAACAGATAATGGCGACCGTCTGTTGCAGCTATGCTCAGATAACCGCCTGTTCCTTGCAAATACTAACTTTAAGCATAAGGAAAAACATCTTTTATCATGGCGACCCCCTAATTCGTCCCAACGTTGGACCCAAATAGATCACATCGCTATCAGCCACCGATGGAGGGGCTCGATAGAAGACTGTCGCTCATTCTGGAGCACATGCTTAGATTCAGATCATGCTCTAGTGCGAGCGCGTATTTGCTTGCGTCTTACTGGACGTAGGAAAGACGCTGCAAGGAAACCTCTTAGGGGCCTACTTAATGATAGTCAAGCTAAGAGTATATTTCAGGAACAACTAGGAAAACAGTTAGGCAGCCATGTATGTGATGCCCACCCCGATGCAGCATGGAATGATATCCGAAAAGCTGTGGAAACAGCAGTGATATCTACTAGTAAGGTAAACCAGAAGGTTAGGGAACAACACTGGATCTCAGCAGCATCTATCGCACTGATAGATGCTCGGAAACTCATTCCATCTGGCTCTGAACATAATGAAGAGCGGAGTCAGCTTAAGCGCAAGCTGACAAGAAGCCTACGCAATGATCGCGAGCATTGGTGGGTAGCGAAAGCAAGAGAGATGGAAAAGGCAGCGGCAATAGGTAATAGCAGACAATTATTCAGACTTGTTAAGGAAACCGACTGTCAGCGAAACATTCTCAGAGAAAGATGGACATATTATACATTCTCAATCCAGGAGATTGGATCGATGGGCAGAACACTTAAGGGATCAGTTCAACTGGCTTTCAGCCACACTTTGGTTTCCTACGATCTCCAGTCAACCTGAATGGCAAGTTAATGTAGGTCCTCCGTCTCTTTACGAAGTTGAAAAAGCTATAGGAAATCTGAAGCGAGGGAGAGCAGCAGGCCCTGACAGGTTCACTCCTGAGATTTTTAAGGATGGTGGTTCAGTATTAGCAGTGAGATTAACCGAGGTCTTAGGTAGAATTTGGGAACTGGACGTAATCCCATCTGACTGGTTTCAATCACTGATTGTCCCAGTATATAAGAAAGGACAAAAGTCCTCTTGTGACAATCACAGAGGAATCAGTTTGACTAATATAGTGTCTAAAATATTAGCCTCAATAATACTTCGACGCCTAATCAAAGCTCGTAAAGAGCAGAATAGAGAAAACCAGGCTGGTTTTCGACCTGGACGTGGTTATATAGACCAGATATTCACACTACGTCAGGTTCTAGAACACAGACACTCGTTCAGACGCCCCAAAATGGTAGTATTTCTCGACCTTAAAGCGGCATTCGACTCTGTAGATCGTGAGGTTCTATGGCAGTGTTTGTCACTGAAAGGAGTACCAAAGAAAAACATTAACCTTATAAAGGCTCTCTACTCGAACACAACTGGTAGAGTGAGAGCTTATGGCGAACTGTCATCAGAATTGATTACCTCAAGTGGTGTTCGTCGGGGCTGTCCACCCTCCCCATTCTGGTTCAACTTTATCATTGACGTACTTTTAGAGATAACACTCTCCTCATCTAAATTTACGGGGATTGAACTTCTACCGGGAGGTTCACTTGTTGACTTAGAATATGCTGATGACATAGTTTCATTTGGTGAAGACGCTGACAAAATGCAGTCTTTTGATCACTCTAAGCAACAATGCAAGCATGTTCGGGATGCGATTCTCTCCCTCGAAATGCAAAATGTTGCTTCAGGATTGGGTTGCATCGACACCCGAACTAGTGATAGGGAGTGAAGTAGTTGAGTGTGTCGACCGCTTCACTTATCTTGGAAGTCTCATCAGCCCTTGTGGTCTGGTATGTGACAAAATCTCAGGACGGATACAGAAGGCTCGACTAGCTTTTGCCAACTTGCGTCATTTATGGCGTAGGCGAGATATCCGTCTACCAACCAAAGGACGTGTTTACTGCGCAGCAGTTCGTCCCGTCCTACTTTATGGCAGTGAAGCATGGCCGGTAAGAGTAGAGGATATTCGTAGGTTACTAGTATTCGATCATAGGTGTCTTCGAAACATTGCTCGTATATCATGGGACCATCGAGTAACACAGTTGTTAGGAAACGGGTACTAGGTAAGGATTGCAAATCAATTGATGAAGTAGTGAAAATTCATCAGTTGAGATGGCTGGGAAACGTGTTACGTATGCCCAACGACCGACTACCTCGACGTGCTATGTTCAGTGGTATAGGAGTAGGTTGGAAGAAAGCTAGGGGCGGCCAGACCAAAACGTGGCACAAAACCATGAAGTCACTGACAAGTGGACTGAGCCATGTTGGTAGATGTAGACTACCTGGTTGGGGACCGCGAGATGATAGCGACCGATAGTTAGAGACCCTGAATGACATTCCTTGGAATCGTTTGTAATGGCGCAGGTGCATCCACTCTTTGTGTTCTCCCAAATTCTAATCTTTTGAATTCTCCATGTCCTTTTTTTCATCTTTCCAAATTTATTTCACTGGATTATACTCTTTAAATAACATCTCCAAACCCTAATCTTCCCTATTACTGCTTATACTCTTGCTACCTCTACCACTACGGGATTTGAATCGACAACTGCATCTCTGTGCTAAGGTGGTGTGGCAACTCGAACTGATGTACGTACGTACGAAGTTCTACGTTGCTACCGACTGACTGAAGGGTATTCCAACTCCCCTAGGTGGACCCTCCGTGTCCACCAAACCGGTTAAAGCATCGGACATTCGCTTTTTGTCCTCTTCATTTCGTAAACAACACCCGTCGTGAGAGAAAGCACTGAGTAGGACTTTCCTGTCAGTGGATGTTTACGCGTGGCTATGAGAGGTAGAGGGAAATCTTCCCATCCTCGACCGTACCAAGGCATTTAAGGGTGAACAGATGAGTGATCGGAAGCGACCAGTAATAAAATAACCACAGGGGAACTACATGTTTAAAAGCAATATGGAAATATCAGTGTTATCTGTTCATTAAATATGACTTATTTCAGTCTATAGTAAAAGTCGAATTATAGTTCATCTTCCAAAGATTACTTTTAGTTACTGTAAGTAGTATTTGCAGCTAGCGTAAAACAAATTTAGTTTAAAGCCTAATAAAAATAACTACTAAGTCATAATTCCTAGTCAAGATTATCTTTAGATCATTCGCATTTCTGAAGTACGTAGCTAAGATAATAAACTAAAACCATGTGTAAGTTCACTTGAAAGGTGGTTCTTAAATATAGGAAACTTATCCAGTCGAACAATTATTCTAACTCGAATCTACTGAAGTTCAAAAGTTTAAACCACTATATTTCAAATTAGTGGCTTAAACGCTATATACTTAGTGACAGGTACACAAGTCCTGGAGTGCATATTCTTGAAGGAGTATACATGCACTACTCAGCAACTACTGTTGTCAGATTATAATACAAACTACTTTTAGTTTCGTAACTAAATCTATAAATTAATGTTACATATATTCGACATCAGAAATAAGCTTCGTTGAAACACTTAAAATAATAACGATATAAGTCACTTAAACAAAAAATAATAAAGAATTCACCATCGATCCGACAACTATTAGTAAATGAAGACTTACTTTCAAGAAAAATATGTCAGAAAGGAGAACCAAAGGGAGAAAAAACAGATGTTAATAAATCGAGAACAAATTCGAACGACATTATGTAATTTTTTCTACCGGGTAAACAGAACCTATATTAATTTTGCAAGAGCTTTACTCATCATACTGGATCAGCCTATGAGCTTCTAGTCGTTATTACACCAGTGCTATAAAATGGTTAGTACCCTTCACTAAGACAGGTCTCTGTCAATAAATAAAGTATTTTTCACTGTTTCACCAAAAGAGTAGAATAACCTAACTAGTTTTGTAACGAACTTTATTTACGTCTAACAGATACATAAAAACTAGTCTTTTTAGTGAAGCAATTTACAGTTGAAACACGATTTATTCAAATGCACATAGGGATGCTTAGGTCACGGAGTCTTGTGAGGTTGGTCATTATGACAGATCAACAATTGATAATTGCCAGAGAAAAATTATATTTCATGTAGCTATACGAACCAAAATCAGCAGATCCAAATAGAAATATAGGTTGAAAAACACTACTCGACGAAGTGCTGCTCATTTTTAGAAGGAAACTTTACACGAGACGTGAAATCCATGTGAAAACCAAGAGGTGGTCGATATTAGTCAAAGATTGTGACCTAATAAGGAGAAATCTCGCTCACTTTGAAAAAAATCCAGAGTTAGGCAGTCTGATTTAGCCAAGAACACGTCATATTTGTCACTAATTATCTAAACAAATTTTTTCAAAGCTAAAGATTTAATAAATGACTATTATTCAAACCAATATTGCTGATTTTTCAGTTGCTAAACACACAGAGAGTTACATTGACTGAGTAATGAATGAATAATCCACTCAATAATAAATAGGGCAAGAATCATACCAGTTACTTTTTCATACGACATTTGGAGAACTTTATTACGTGAAGTTATGACAAAAAGTTCACAAGTAAATCATTAATCGGATCTCCAATACAAGTGAAAGCAGATTTTCTGAAACCGAAATCAAAATTCAGCCGGTATAAGCAATTATAATTGTGACAGTGATTTAGAATGTATATCTTAGTTCTAGTAACGTCTATTCTACCTCGTAATGATATTGGTTTGATTCACTTTTAAAAAGTACATAGAGTGACACATGTAAAATTTGTAACAACAAAATACTGATATGTTTATTCACATAGACGAGAGTCGCTGACTTGATTTTACTTCACAAATGAGGTGAGACATATAACATTGAAAGTTTTGTGAAAATCCCTCGACTTCTAGGTAAGTTTAAGTGGTAAAATGGGCCAGGGGTAAATCAGATAAGCATAAGTCTCTCTGAATTTCGTCATACAAATTTATTACTATCCATATTAATGCGTCAACTTAAATGGCTCCCAAGTGTAGATATGGTTTCCTGAAAATGTTGTGAAAGCACTTTCCATTTAAAACCCGCGAGAATCAGGCTGATTTCAGACCTGAATGTGGACGTGCATATCACATTAGCTATCAAACTGGTTATATCTTATTAGTTAGGGATACTTTTATTTAATTCTGTAATAAATATTCTCTAAAAGATAACGTTTTATCGTTGAAAATTTAAAGGATTGGTTCTCTACAAGAAAGATCACTTATCGACGTAGAATATGCAGACGACATAGTCCTAATCAGCAAAGACGCTAACACAACCCATAGCTTTGTGACAGCCTTGAGTAACAATCCAAAGATGTTTGAGATATATTCCTCTACATCTAAATGCAAAGTGTTGCTTCTATATTGATCAGAATCATTTCTAGATAGGTAGCCAGGAGTTAATCAGTTCACTGCACTAACTTTTTACTTAACTTGGGGGTTTACCGAATCTAGTAGTTTGGTGTGAGAAGAAAATCGCGGCATGGATTGAAAAAGTATGACTAGTTTAGTAAATTTGCGTCGCTTACTGCAAGATATTAGTTTACCAACCAAAGGACAAGTATATCAAGCAACAGTGAAACCTGTATTACTTTATGGCTACAAAATATGATCAATACATGTATAAAATCCACGGAGTGGTATTCAATAGTAGATGACTTAAAAACAATGCTTGCATATGGTGAAACCATCGATGAGTACTACTGAAGTTAGATGCAGGGCACTAGGTACGAATTTTAGGTTGATTGATGAGGCTATGTACCGAGATCGTTTAGATATGTGATACAAACCCAAAGCTGGTTGACATAAGTATAAATTATATAGAGGCTAGGAACGGACAGAATATCACGAGGTATCAATCCACACTCGACAGAGCCAAGTCGGTAGGTGCACATTATAGTTGAGGCTCTCGTAATACTCGTGATCAACAGCTGATGACGCCAGTTGGATGTGGAATCAGTAGCAGTGGTACGGCCGTGTTTATTCGCCGTCTTCCTTTAGATCTTGAGTCAGACATGATTCATAAAGTCTTACTACTCGATCACCACTATCGTCACATACGTTGAGCAGACATTTGAAGTTTAGTGAGTCTAGTGCTTTATCAAGAAGTGAAAGTGTATTCGTAGTTCGCCAGGTCTGTTTTAATCTAACAAGTCGTTTACCCAAAAAGGATAACACTGCCATCAGAGCAGTTGAGTATAGATAATATATACAGGATAGTTTGCGGTATTTTAGTGCGTTGAGTTCCTTACAGGACTATTCTTCAATCGGCTTCGTAAACTCACCCACAAGATACTTATGTATGAGCCACATTCTATGTGTGAAAGTGAGACTATCCGGTTACCCAAACCGAAGTAGATTGTTTCAAGTTCTAATATGACGTTGAGCTAGACTTTAGGTATACTAAATTGGCTAAACATACGGTAGTAAACTTGAAGTATACATTGATGTAGAAAAATACACCGCTAGAATACATATAAGTTGGTTGGTTAACCAGTAAACACACGGTTATCTTGGTAAACATATGTTAGTTCCATGAATTCTGTAAATAACTTGGATCAAGATAATTTAACAGCCATAAACCAAACCACAAAATCGCTGTTGCATAGACAGTTTGATGGCACCTCACTAACATTTGTTGACTTAGAATAAGTGGCTAGGTAACTAAAAATTTGCTTGGTAGAATTAAGGAACTACTTGTCTTCTTGGATCTACATTTGGGTGAGTGTTCTTGACAATGGAAGTCCCGTTTATAAGATGTTTTCCCTGAGGAGTAAACTGTCAGTCATTAGTAGTGGTAGTAATCGAAACGTAACGACGTAGTCACTTTCGGAACCTACGGAACTTAAGCAAAATTCGAGCCCTTTCTTGAAAGACACCGCGTAACGGACTGTTACCATAGCCTATAATTACGAGTTCAGTAGTTTAAGGGTTCTAACTAAAGTAAAGTATGCATGGATTTATATGCAAGCTCCTTTATGTTCTATTTTAAATGGAACTTGTCTTAGGTGTAATTTAGCACTAAAATCAACTATTGAACTGTCAGTGTGGAGAGTATAGGTTACAAGATGAATAGATTATATGCCCTTTGGTCATTTTGTACTTTACAGGTTGGAAATTTGGAGCTTCCAAGAGGGCTGAGTAGGGTTTATCGTCTAGTTTGGATACCTTTAAAGTAACATTCCTTTGTAGTAGTCCTTTAACGATTGTGCCTTGTGGAACTGCACTTATCACCGATAAAAGTCAGACAGAGTAGGGCAAAATCTGATACCGTGTGATCGCCCATATAAATAATCTGAAGGTTATACCATTGAACAATCGCCACGGAACAGCTGGAAGAGAAGGCTCCTTGTTGATGGCACATTTTGGAAGCCACGTTTCACAGAAAGCCAATATACTTGGGCGTATATCACTTGTCAGCTCTCTGATCTCGAGGGTTTTCAGTCGTATCCCACTTACTTTAATGCATCTATAGTGAGTGGGAGGGACACTTTTTGAGCATCGTCAGGAAGACATTTTAAGAAAAATGTCACCAGGTAAAAATCAGACCCCAGGGGATATGACTTCCCCGCTTTATAAGACCTCACGATTACGGAATATTGAGATTTTATTGACCTAATCTCCAAACTTTGGGGAAACCCACAAAGTCGAATGACCTTCATTAAGGTTAGAGTGAAATTTTAAGAAAATATAGGGGAATTTCCCCAGGTCTGATGAAATTATGAGGTCCAGTGCCATTTACTTTAGTGGCTCACCTTAAATGGCCCAAATTTTTCCCAAAATTGGGACCCAATTTGGTCCCAAAATTTGAACCTCAAGATCGAGGATTTACGGTGAATAGCTAACAAGTCATTAAATGTACCTCCATTAGTAAGATAAATGTGTAGACGAAATTAAACGTAAACAATTCAAAGATATCTGAGCGCATATTTATACGATTATAATAAATGACTGAATTCCTAGCAAAATAACCGTGTGAACGACCTTGTATTACCGTAAAGTAACCGCGTGAATTTAAAATCACTTCCCTAGCTTTGAGTAAAATGTTCCAATATGAGCAAGTATTATCCTAATTACGACATGGTTTCAGGTCTTTGGAGGCGTACAATCGAAATGCAGCAGTTCCAGTTAATTGTGCAGTTGATTATAGGTTGCTTGATTTGAGAATAATTTACTAACTTTGTCGCATAGCAGTAAAGTTTCTTGTTCAAGCAGACTGATAAACTCACCACTCAACAAACTGATGGGTTCCATTAATAAGATTTCAATCAAGTTACACTTCGCTGATCAAGTGTATTTTTTAACACGGTGTACAGAATGAGATATCTTCGTTCAGTGATAAACAATGAAGTGTAATGCAGATTGGAGCAGTCAGAATTTAGCACTTTTTTGGCCCATGCCGACTCAAAGTTCAAATCTTTTATAAAAGAATGAATAACTACGATCGTAAGAAAATCATTACAAATCTAACTTTGGTTAGATGACTATTGACTGTTTTTTACGATTATGCTAAAATACACGTGTAGTGTCAGTTATTATGGCAAGCCCATATACCTTATACTAACTTCCGGACATCCTATTTTATTCATTTTACTTGAGCCATATTTTGACCTTGTCAATTATCCGCTTATTAGCCTTGACTGTTTTCACATGAGCGTATATGTGTGTACACTTCATATCCCATGATTCATCACATGTCTGTAGTTTATTTTGTCTGCCCATAAATACTGAGTAACACTTAATTAAAATGGAGTTGGCTTCCCAGCCATCTTCCATACGTGTGATTTTTGCTTTGCTGTGCTTCATTCGCTCCATGTACGAAATATATGTATTCACAAATCCATTCTCGTTATTCGACTTATTTAATTTCGTTATTGACTAACGCGATTCAAGTCGACGTAGATAAACGAGAATAAAGGCGATAACAATCATCCATACAATCTAAAAATGGAGTCAGATCAACGGGCCACTAAACACGTTTCGTAGTACTTTTGATTACACTCAGAATGTAAACTAACGTGGGCTTTGATACCATTATCGGTTTTGTAAGTTCAAATGAGTGGAGCATCGAAGCGCAGAAGAACAATTGATAAGCATCCTTCCTATTACTTTCCCACATGCTTTTAAAGTAAACAATGGAAGTTCCCTACATCAGTAATTTTGATATGTGTAAAAATTAACTTGATGTTTTAGCATGGACAAAACTATTATCCTAGCCAACTGCTGCAGAAATTCGAACTTAAAGTGGCAACTAACGCTGTAAATTTTTTTTAGCAGAATAGAACATCTAAGTAGTGGCTTTTAATAGAGAATGAAATGTCGATCTCCTAAAACGCCAGACACTATGTAGCGATAAATAGATCCTCAAAATAAAGAGCCCTGTAAGTCTTTGACACTGGATGCTGACCACATTACTTTTAATGGACTCAACTAACTGAAGGCGCTCGGTCATGCATCCGCATCAAATCATGAGTGGGAATGCCTTGCTTAACAACCCTTGCAATAGCTAG